GTCTTGGCTCACTGGAGAATGCCCCAGAGCCTTATTTTCCTGGTAGCCACATGGGATCTCTCTGGTGGCTCCTCTCTGTGTCCTCTCCCCAGAATTCTTCTTGTCTGGGAGCCCTGCTTATAGTTCCTGCCTGGTTACTGGCTAATCAGTGTTTTATTCACCAACCAATAAGAGAAACACATTAACAGCATACTGAAGGACATCCCATCACCTTTCCCCAGGGAGACAATGTCCTAATTGTGGAGATTCATTCATTGCTCCCATTTCTCCAGCCACGACTGACAATATCTGACTCCGCTCCCTCCTGCTCCTCTTGACTTCTGTTTCCGTGTGCAGGGAACCTGGTGAAGAGCATGGTGTGTGCTGAACTCCATGCAGGTAACTGTCGTGTGCCAGGTTTCCACACATGCCGCGCTCTGCCCATCCTGCCTGAGTTCGTCTGACTTATTTCCTCCCCCGGCCCTCTCTGTTTCGCCACATCCAAACCTCGAATACCAAGTGTTCACTTCTTGTACTCTACCTCACTGCTGCAGATCGTCCTGTCTCTCGGAGCATCGAAGCTTGCTCTCACTTCCCCCTTGACTTTCAGCAGGCCCAGGAATTGCTGAGTGTAGAGGCTAGGGTTTATACTCAGAGACCTGATATAAAGTAGAGTCCCCAGGGGCTGGGGAGATGAAGCTTTGCAAGGCCTCAGACTTGGGTTCAAGCTCTAGAACCCACATTAAAAAACCAGTCATGGTCATGTATGATTGCAATCCCAGCACTGGGGAGGCAGAGATATGCATATCCCTGGGACTCTCTGACCAGCCAGGCCAGCCCACTTGGTAATCTCCAGGCCAATGAGAGATCCCCATCTCAAAGGGGGAGGTGGCGACAGCTGAGGCACTCTACACTAAGGTTGTCTTTTGGCTTCGGCATGGGCGTGCACATACCTGCAGGCACACCTATCACAAAAAGAGTGTTCTTCTGTGCAAGCATCCTCTTTTGCCATAAGTCACATATTCCTTGCTCCTTCCATCATCATGCACACACCCAGCTCTTCCATCTGACCAATCTATCTGGCAGCAAATGTGCAAGCAGAGCACATCAGGCATCTCCCATACACCTGGTTCTGTGGGTGTCCAAATGAGCAACAACAGAGAGAGTCCCTGCTCTCCTGAGTCTTTGATGTGAAACAATGTTTGTACACTGTCAATATGTGTTACTCTCATTGGCTAATCAAGAGCTGACTGGTCTATAGCTGGGCAGAAAGAGATTGCACAGGACAGCCAGACTAGGAGGATGCTGGGAAGAAGGGCAGGGTCTCAGAAGTTGCCAGCCAGACATAGACTTGTACAAAATCAGGTAACAAGACATGAGCCATGTGGTAGAACTTAGATAAGAAATATGGGTTAATTTAAGTTGTAAGAGCTAGTTAGTAATAAGCCTGAGCTATTGGTTGAACATTTATAATTAATATTTAAGACTCCATGTCAGTTATTTGGGAAGTAGTGGGTGGGCAGGACAGGAAAACTTCACCTACAGGTCTTATAGTCTAGAATGGCAAGGAGACGAAAATTAAAAGAAATATTAATCAACTGCTGAGACAAACACTCCAAGGAAGGCATGATTTATTTCATTTCTTTTGTTTGTTTTGAAACAGGGTGTCTCTACAGAGCCTTGGCTGTCCTGGAACTAACTTGAACCAAGCTGGCCTTGAACTCACAGAAATCTGCCTGCCTCTGCCTCTCAAGTGCTAGGTTTAAAGGTATGTGCCACCACACTGGGCAAGAAGGGGTATTCTTTGTGAAAGATAAATGAAGGGCCTTGGACTGGTCTGATTGCCATGGGGAAATGATGCTTTTCTTACACTGAAGGACAGACATGTTTACAGGCAGGAAGGGAGCTCCCCCAGGCCCGGAAAGAGGAACAAGCAATTGGAAATGGACACCTGGGCCTCAGTCACTTCAAATAGGGAGCACAGATCTACTGCCCCAACTGGGACTTTTTAAAGAGTAAAACTGAAGCTGGTAACTGGTGGTTCCTGGGGACCATCCTGCCCTTCCGTCACCAGGCACATCGTGATTGTATTGACTAAAAGGAACTCCTCTCTGCCTCCTGTGTCTTTAGCCACAGAAAGAACCTCCCTCGGTGGTGGTTTGGAGAGATGGCTCAGTGGTTAAGCACACAGGCTTGCTGCTCTTCCAGTCCCCTGCACCCACAGGATGGTTCAAAACCATCTGTAACTCCAGTTTCAAGGAATCTGATGCCCTCTTCTGAACTCCGTGAGCATCAGGTATATATATGGTATGCAGACATATGTTCAAGAAAAAGCACTCATACATACAATTAAATTCAAAACAAAACAGGAACACCTCCAATGCTTGTGGAAATGTCTCAAGACTTGAGACCTCATTTGCCCTCAAGATAGGGAAACCTGGGTGCATTCCAAGAATGGGGCAGGCCCCAGCACTGTCATCATCAGTGATCGGGAGACAGGATCAGGGCGTGTGGGCTGACATCAGGGAATCCATGCAAGGCAGCATGCATGGTGGGTTTCAGCACCAGCTTTCAGTGTCTGTGGCTCTGGACCTGGTGCACACACAGGTGGGCTCCGCAGGCTCCCATCTTCCCCGCAAACAAGTTCTACCTGCTTCAAGGAAAGTGGGGACTTAGGGATCCTGTGGTTCCTTTGAGTTTCTGTGGCCTTGTCTCCTTTCTGATGCAGCATGGTTTGTTCTTAGGATGTAAGTAGAGCATCCTAAGAGATGAGTGGCGTGTGTGAGTTGGGGGGCACTCCTTCTGTCTCTTTGTTTGACTCTCAGACTATTAATACGAGCCACGTGTCTGGCTGCACCCCAAGAACACGTGCTCCCCACAGTAAAATGCCACCCCTCCCAGCTCAGCCTGTTGTTTGTTCTTTCTGATTGGCGCCAGCCTCATAGACCCCATGGAGGTAGAATATAACTCTCCATAAATAAACTCTAACCTGACCTACAATTTAGCCTTTGGGCTTTTTTTTTTCTTCGTGGTAATGGGATCATAGCCCAAGATGGTCTGTCCTACATCTCCTGGTCCCAGAAAGCAAGCCCTAGGTATGCTCCAGTCTGGGCATCACTTGGACTCTCTAGTCCCCATCATCTCTGGCATGTGGTGGGAAAACAAGGGCATACTGAAGGATGGTGGGTAAGCTCCCTGCACCCATAGGCAGCTATGCGCAGCTTCAGTGTATTATTGTGAGTGGGGTTCTTTTCTCAGAGGGTCTAGGACCCCTTCTCCTTCAGAAGAGCCTCTAGAAGCTCCCTCTTTGGTGTCCCTTCCCTAACCACTGTCCCCTGGGGGTCACCATAAAACTAATCTTTCCTGCCTGGCTCTGAATCACAGAAGTCCAGGCCATCCAGGCTGGTTCTTCACCCATGTGCTCACTGGGCTCTAAGTAGCTGAGTGGGTACCAGTACCAGGGACTGAGCTCAGGCTAGTTGTGGGGAAAGCATTTTAATCCTAGCTACCCCAGTCTACTCAGACTCAAACACAAGCCTGCCTCCAGAGTTCCTGTCCTAGCCCTCTGCACCACACCTGGGGGTTGGCCAAGGCCAAGGTCTCTATTACATCCTCGTTCTGGGATGTTCTTCAGGGTGCCTGGATTCCCTGAGGGGGGTCCTCCAGGGAATTTAGAACCACAGGGAGACTGGCAACACTCAGTGATATTTGTCAAAGACTTGATGGTGATAATTCACTTAGGGGACTTATTGGGAGTTAAAACAAAAAGCCAGGAGGGTCCAGGGATAGAGCTCAGTGGCCGGGAGTTTGCCTGGCATGTACAAAGCCCTGGGTTTAATTCACGGCATGTACATACACAAGGATAGGAGTTTACCTTTGGGATAGTGTTCCCTTCACACAAAGATGCACTTGATTTAAAGTGTTGCAGTCTCAGCAGGTTGGTAGTGGTGCACGCCTTTAATCCCAGCACTCGGGAGGCAGAGGCAGGAGGATCTCTGTGACTTCGAGACCAGCCTAGTCTACAGAACCTAGTTCCAGGACAGCCTCCAAAGCCACAGAGAAACCCTGTCTTGACCCCCCTTAAAAAGTGTTGCAGTTTCAAATCCTGTTTTAAAAAAACAGGTTGGGGTGGGAGACTAAGGCCCCATCTAGCTCTGGTTGGCTTCGAAATCCCAATTCTCTTATTTTCACCCCCTACCCCCCAGGTTCCAGGCCTATGGTATCTACTGCTCCACCAGTCCCATTTTTTCTTATTGCAACCAAAAAGTAGATGCTGAGTCCTAGCATGCAACACTCCCAAGTGTTTTCAGGAGACCTGATGTTGGCAGAAGAACCAGGCATTGCCCTTGGCTTTGAGGACCTTACACGTTTACTGGGGAGGTGTAAAATTCACATTGGGAAAAAGCTTGGCCCAGTTTGGCTTGTACTGGTCCTCGGTTGTTCTTGGCTCTGCTTCTATCCTGGTACCAAGCAGGGCTTGGCCAGACCAGAGAATATCCATGAAATGAAAGCACAAGGGAAGACCTTGAACTGGGAACCAAATGGTGGCATAGGACATCATAAGAGAGAGGGTGCATCAGACACTGGAACATTTGTGGAAGGTTTGGGGAACAGGGTGGAAAGTTCCATGGATCCTAAAGAAAGGGGAGGAACGTGGTGGCTGTGACAAGCAGAGTCAGCAAACTAAAGAGGCGGGGTCTGCAGGACCATTTGGAGAAGTAGGGGGGCTTGGGAGGGTGGGGGTGAAAGACTGTAGCCTCGAGCGAGGCGAGTGACTGGGTGACAGTGTGGAGGGCAGTCTGCAGAGCCAGTACGACGATGTCCCAGCAGGGCAATGAGGGCTGGGTTTGGAAAGGAGGGAATGAACATGACTCTTCCAAGCCGGGCACATAACCGCCAAAAGGGCTAGCAGAGTTGTCCAAGGTGTCTTCAAAGGTTGGGCCTGGTGACCGAGGGAAGGGTGTGAGATGACAGACGACATTGTGTGTGGTTGACAAAAAAATGATACCACATCCTCCCGGTCATGATTCATTGTCTTTATTAACAATGCCTCTGGTCGCCAAAAAAACACACTGTGCTTCACGAAGCGGTACTGACACTGTCATTCTCTACAAGAAAAACGTTGGCATAAATAACTTAAATGAGAAAATAAATACGTCACTGGACTCTTTAAAAACCACAGCTTCCATTCTTGTGGGTGAGCCGCACATGGAAAGTTTGCTAAATCCACCAGGCCAGCCCCAGGGGCTTCCCAGCTCCGTGTTCTTCCTTCGCTTACAAACACCCCCCCCCCTTAACAATTAAAATCTACACAGAAAGTAAGAGGTGTCTGGAAATGATTACAAAAAGATTTGTGGGTGGCGGTTGTGGCGCCTCCCAGCTTCTCCGCATATGTACAGCACTTGTCCCTCCCCCGATTATGATTCTCTTTAATGTAAGATATGCCATCACTAAGGAGAGTATGAAGACGCTGTTTTTCTGGACAGAAATGTGCTCGTGGGTGGCAGACCGGAGGAGGTGTCCTGGGAGACACAACTTTGGCTGGAAGTGACCGGCAAGCCCAGGTCCCCCCACGACCTTAAACTGTTGTGTGGAAAATCCCTTTGAAATATGGCAATGCAGCGGGGGGGGGGGGGCAGGAAACTGATCTTTGGAGACCAGAGGTGCGATTTCTGTCCCTTCCACCATCTCTGAGACCCTGTCCTTCTCTATCCCAGTTTGAAGGCAAATCTGAGATGAAGGAGTGGGGGTAGCCAAACATCTGGGGAGGCCAGGCTGCGAATCCACAGCCTCTTCTAAGAGGTTGTCAACCAGAAATCTCTTTTCTTCTTTCTCTCCCTCATTCTCTCCCTGTCTCCTTCACCTGTCCATATGGGGCACCCCAATCCTTGGAAGCTCAGCAGAGTCCTTGGAAAGTCTAATCTCACCGTGACCCATATTTTACAAAGCAGACACCGAGGTACCAAAAGAGAACCCCGTAGCCCAACCTCACACTCAGTGGCCAAGCCAGGGCCAGAAATCCTATCCAGTCCTGCGATCTTGCACACACGGACTTTACAGTGGGATGGGGAAACTTAACTGTACCTCTGTAAACCAGTCCCAGATCCTTTCACACTCTGCTCCCTTTACGGTGAAAATGCTACCGTGTTCTGTAGGGGACTGACGACCGTAGGAGCCCCCCTTCCCCCCACCGCCCCTGGCTGGGCAGAGTGGCTCAGTGTCTGTGACTCAGCTCCCTCTCCAGGCCTGCGGGAACTCCCGCAACGGGCAGGAGGGCAAGGGGACTCTACCGGCTGGGGACTCCACATGGCCTGGAAGGTTTGGCGCCCCTGGCCTGAGCTACAGGCTTTACAATGAAAACGAGTCGGATCGTGCGGGGGCAGCGTGGGCGCGGGAGCGCTCTAGTACGCGTTCTCCAGCTCCGCTTGGTTGGCTTTGGCGCCCCGGGCGCGAGGCCTTGGCTTGCGACCCTTCTGCGGCCGTGCAGTCTCCGGTCCGAAGTCCTTGAGCTCCGACTGGTTGTGGAAGCGGGTGAGGCGCTTGCACTTGCAGGAGGCCACCAGGCGCACCTTGCGTGCGCGCGGCGCGGCGCCCCCGGGACACAACAACTGCACCCGCTGCGCGCGGTAGCGGTCCGGGATGCAGCGGAAGTCGGGTCCGTTCGGGCGCCACCACTTCACGCGGCCGATGGCGTTGGGCAGCAGGCGCGCGGGGCCACACTGGCCCGAACACACCAGCTCGGTGACCGGCTTGGCGCTGCGACACGGGCCGTCTGTCACGAAACGGGTGTAGTGCAGCTCGCGGCAACTGTATTCGGACACGTCTGCGGAGAGAGGGAAGCGTATGGGCGGCAGCCTAGCCCAGGCTGGCCTGCTCCCGCTGTTCCTCCCTGTTTTTTCCAAACCTGCCCCTCTCCAGGCGCTTTCACATCCATGCATGGCTTATAGGAAGGAAGCACCAGGCACTTTTGGAACTTGCAGGGGAAGATCTCTCCCTGGCTGCTCACTGTCCTTAGAACCCAGTGATCAAACACCAGCGCTCAGCCATTTACTTTCTGTGTGATCTGTGGGCACGCAATTTAACGTCTCTCTTCCCCACATCTGTAAAACAGGTTGCCCCAAGATTCAATGACTTCATCCACTACATGCGCATTATACTGGGCACTATGTGGCAGTCAGAACTGTCATGTTCTTGTTTGGGGATTGGGTCTTATGTAGCCCGGGCTGGCTTCAAACGGGCCCATGCATTTGAGGATGATCTTAAATGTCTGAGTTCCCATCTTCACCTTCCCGGTGGTGGTATCCAGGCGTGGGTCATTCACTGCCTGGCTTATGAGGTACTAGGGAACCGGGCCTGGGCTTCGTGCATACTAACCAAGCACTCTTCTAATTTAGCTCCTTATCCCCAGGCCTGACTAGCAGCCGCTAGCCATACCTGACTGCCCTCTGGTCCTTCTAAACCCCTTTACCAGCCACTGGGAAGGGGCGGGGTCCCAGGAGATGGAGAAACGAGCGGAGGTTAATTGAAGGTAATAAATCAGGACAGCTGCTGTGGAGGAGCGGGTAGAAGGGCAGGTGGTGGGGATAAGAATTCATTAGACTTGAAAGCAACCAAAGGCAGCGAGCGGTTCCAACCCCCTCATTACCACAGGTCCAGGCTGAGAAAAGAACTTGCCCCAAAGGCAGGGCTGGGTTGCCTGACGCCCCTGCCTAGGATGCCAGCACCTTCTGGCTCCTGCAAGGGTGAAAGTGATTTGTTAGAGGACCCCAGGTTGGGGGATGGGTGGGGGTAGAGGGCCGCTCACTCTTTGCTAAGTACTTCCTTAGCAGAGGGGGGTCAGAGTTCTGGCCTACAGCTTCTGCCCCCATAAGCATTTGTTTAGCACCTGCTGCATACCAGGCTCTTGAACTGTAGCTCATGGTGATGCAAGCCTTCCTTCTGTGGAAGGAGGTTGGGTCTGATGCCTGGCCTCATCTCGTGCACACACCCAGGCTATGTCTCCCACCATGGGCTTAGGTGGATGGAAGCTTTTAAGCTAGCTAATTCATATGCGAGTCCTGTCCACCCCCAAAAGTTTCACAGCGGGCTAAGATGGCATGAAAAGATTTAAGAAATTAGTTCCAGAGCCAAAACCAGAGAGAGAGGCAGAGGCCAGCATCCACCTCTGCCCCCGACAGCAGGCACAGCAGGGGAGGTGGATGTCTAGTCACACCTTCTGTGCCTGGCTTTTTGGTTTCTGCGCTGGTTTGACTCCCTCACCCCTGTAGAGGCGGTGTGTGGAGGAGTCTTTGCCCAGAGAACGATACGTTTTGGGGCTTTCCAGGAATAGCACCCGTAGGTCAGACATTTCCTCTGCAAAACGTGACCGCATTGCACGCTCCTTTGGGGGTGGCCCTTTCCCACACCCCTCACTGGCCAGGAGACAGGGGAGGCAGGAGCATGCTGGCGGCCCGGAAAGCAGCTTCTGCCCCACGCAGATGGTGAGCAGCAGGCAGCCAGGTCCTCGCTCTGGAATGTGTCCCTCCAGCTGCCACCCGGCTCCTGTCATCCCTGCCAGCTGTGCACTCAATCCCCTAGGCATTTCTCGGTGCAGGCCTGCCTCCACAGGCTCTGTCCCCAGGAATGAGGCAAAGCTGGGCCAAGGTGCAAGCAGAGGGCAGATGATGCCACCTGTGCCCATATGGGGGGATGCTACACTCATCTGCCAGTCATGTCATGGGCTAAAACCGTGCCTAAAACCCTGTTCTGTGGTGCTAACCCACTGCGCCCAACAAGGGGAACTGAGTGGGGTTCTTTCTGGCTTCAGGTTCCCATCCAAACCCAGTCTAGGGTTGTGTTGCAACTGGATCAAAACCAGCTTCCAGTCTCTGTTCTTTTTATCCTCCCCACCCCGGTGGCTTTATCCCAGGAGCCTCAGTTTCTCCACCTTTAAGCTAGGATCACCTCATGGGGTGGCCATGTGAGATATAGAACAACCACAGCATCCATCAGGTGCTACCAGCCTTACCTTGTGGCCTCCCCACTGGTCCAGCCAGATCTAACCCCTGTGTCCTTGAGGAGATTCGTTGAACCATCCTACAAGCCCGTGCCTAAGTTAATGCCAGCTTCGGCTGACCTCAGCCTGCCCCTGCCTAGAGTGCTCAGCCAGCACCCCCACCCCAAGCCTGTCCCCAGACTCTAACCCTGTGCTAGCATTCTTCCAGGCAAGCCTGTCCCCCGTGGTGTGGCAGAGGCTAACTATCCACCCTATCTTCAAGGCCTCCAAAGAGCAGATTCTAAAACTACCCCCATTAATTCCCGGGACCCCCATGCTAACAACTTGTCTTCTCCATCCCATACCTTTGGTGTCATAGGGATGGTGGGGAGGTCTCCCTCCATTCTCTGCCCGGTTCATGGTCTGGTTGTTCTCCAGCTCCTGGGGAGGCTCAGGGTACTCTCTGAGCCCAGGGATGATTTCGGTGGCATCATTCTTGAAGGCTTGCCACCCCTGACCCTCCACAGCACAGAAGGCTGCATGTACAAGCAGGAAGACAAGACACAGGGCTAGCGAGAGCTGCATGGTGCCAAGTGGAGGAGGGCGCTCAGTAGCACAGGCTCCAGTCCCCAGCCTAGATACAGTCGCCTTTTAAAACCCCCTCTGCCTCATGCCAGCCAATAAGGATGGACTGGAACAGGGCTGGTCCCATGTTTCCTCACCCCCCCTCCCCAGGGGAAAGGGGTGTGCTCAGAGCAAGCCCTCCCCAAGACTTCTCAAGCTCAGCAAACTTCCAAATTGCTGCTGGCACTCCCAGGTGACCCAAGTGGGATGGGGGGGGGGAGGCAAGGACAGAGCCAGCTCTCCCAGCACCTCCCACGTTCTGACGGCTGTGGTTTTCAGATATCAAAATGAGCTTGGCTTTTAATTGTCTGGCTCCCCGGGCCCCTCAGGCATTCTCAAAACAAACTGTGGGCCAGCTTAACAAAGGAAACATGTGGAGCTCCGAGTTCTACAGAAGGCAGAGTTCAGCTGACCACATTCCTCTAGCCAAGTTCCTTTGTCACCCCACCAGCTAATGGTCTTAATTAAAGGTGTCTGTTTGCACCCCACTCCCCACACACAAGCAGGATGCCTTTTTATTTGGGGGAATCCAACCTAAGGGTCTCATACTTGCTGTGCAAGCACTCTATACGGGTCCTTTTAAAGAAATCCCATTGGCCTCACGTCCATAAGGCTCAGCATGGAAGATTCTGAGCAAAAGCCCCTTGGCTTTCTTCTTAAAACCAGGGATAAGTAGAGAGTCCACACCCACTGGTGAGAAGGTGGGGTTCTGGCAACAGGTGGAGGGTAGCCATGGCTCTTGGAGATGGAGCACAAAGAGGAAATCTCTTCTACCCTTTGAGACCTGGGATCCATCACAGGTGGTTCTTAGCCAGGGAACTCAATGTGGCTTAAAGGCTGGTGTGCCAAAGGCAGCTCCTTCCTTGGCCAAGCCTGGGGCAGGCAACACAGAATCCCATTTCTTTGCAAAAGACAAGACCAGTGCTTTTAGTACTGACATTTCTTAGTTAGTGCCATCATTTCTCAGATTACACTCTCCATGTACATGTATGTGCAGTGTATGTGTGAGTGTATACATGTATGTGTGGGTGCATGCAGACCAGAGGGGGTGTGTCCTCCTCTGTCACTCTCCAAGATATTCCCTGAGACAGGATCTCTTACTGAGGCATTCAGGTTAGACTAGCTAGCTGGCTAGTGGACTCCCATGATCCACCTGCCTCTCCCCCCCACCCTTCACAATCCTGGGGTTATAAGCACGTATGGTCGCTTTTCCACATGGGTGGTAGGGATCTGAACTCAGTTCGTCATGCTTGTACAACATGCACTCTTAGTCATCAAGTCATCTCTCCAGCCTCATTATATTTTCATAAACAACTCCGAGTCTTGTCGAAAAATCCAAGGGACACATATAACAGGTGAGTTTCAGAAAGCCATCTCAGGTCCATCTAAGTGACTGGTTCTCAACCTTCCTAATGACCCTTTAAGACAGTTCTTCATGATGTGATGGCCCTGACCATAAAATTATTGTCATGCCTACTTCAAACTGTAATTTTGCTGTTATGAATTATAATGTAAGTATCTGATTATTTTTCCATCATCTTAGGGTGGCTGATCCCCATGAAAGTGTCCTTCAACAATCCGGGGGGGGGGAGCTCGACCCACAGGTTCAGAACCACTGGTCTAGGTACAAAGAAATCCAAAGGCATTGCTGGCTCAGCCAGCAGTAGCAGAAGGGCCATGGACAGGCAGAAGGAGGGGTATGAGCAGGAGGGTTCACACCTGAGGTGCAAAAAAAGGAGTGTCCGCGGAAGCCTTCGCAGAGATGGATTGTTGGAGGATGCCCCGGCCCTGGAGGAAGGCTGGGAAGAAGGCTATGGTCCACCTTGTCCTGGTATGCTATCTGTGCAATGAATCAGTGTCCACCACCTGCACAGCTTCTGCAGGCCTCTGCCACCTGCCTTGACTTGCAAGTGGCCTGTCCATCTGGGGCCAACCGCCTGGGTCCCCCTTTTCATCTTCCATCACCCACACATCAATGCAGCTGCTCTGACAGTTTTACAAGGCAGACAGAAGTCCCTCCAGGAAGGGCCCTCTCTGATACCTGCTTCCTAAGTCAGTTTCCTTCGGGGCAGACAAAAACAGCTGTGGCCATTGTTGGGGGTGATGTATCTCTCACACCAGAGCTGTGGTGTTGTTAGAAGCTGCCCCCTCCTTTTGTCTGTGACCTCCAGTCTCCTTTTTCCCTGCTCTGGAATGTGGACTGTTAACCCTGTCTGGGCCAGAGAGCCAGCCCATTGCTCTCTCCAGACTTGGGAGAGGACAGTTCCTGGGCAGGGGTTCTGTGATCATGCAAAATGGTTCTCATAGCACCATCTGCTGATGGAGGTGACAACCAGTCCTTGGAACGCTTCTGCCACCTGCTGGACATAAAAGGAGAAACCAAGTGACCAGAGAGTGGCCAGGCTTGGGACTAAAGGAGTGTTAATAAGAAAAATTGAGTTCTTTAATGGCCCATTCTTCTGGGTCATTCTCGGCCAACGGGTAACTCTGCCCTTCACAGGATAGATCTGAGAACCTGCTGTGGTGCCTGCCTTGTTTTTTCCCCTTGAGGTTAAGTCAGTTATGGGTGTATTTACTCTACACAAAAACCTTACCATTTCTCAAGAGCGAAACCTCGGGTCTCTGTCGATCCCTCTTGACTGAAGTATAGGGTGTTTCTTCTTTCCTCCCTTTCTTCATTTCTTTCTCTTTTTCTGTTTTTCAAGACAGGGTTTCTCCATGTAGCCCTGGATGTCCTGGATCTCACTTTGTAGAGGAAGCTGGCTTGGAACTCACAGAGATCCACCTGCCTCTGCCTCCTGAGTACTAAAGGGTATTTCTGACCTCTCGTTCTCAGCAAGACTGCTGTAAACATTCTTGTATTGTGTAATGGGTTTGGTGTTTAGCTTGTTTGGGGTCTTGCTTTGTTTTTGAGATGGCCTTGTTGTATAACTCAGGCTACCTTCAAATTCATGGTCCTCCCATTTCAGCCTTCCAAGGGCTGTAGTGACAGGTGCACACCACCACACCTGGATAGCTTTTCTTAATTACTCTTTCAAATTCTGAGGTAACTGTAAGTTGGCAAGTACTTGAAATAATTCAGAGGGATTTTTATGTCTTCTCTACCCAGTTCCCTCAGTGGTAACAGCTCACCAAAGGTGCCAGCACAGCACCACAACCAGGACACACAGTGCACCAATCTTACTCCCACCCGCCCCGATTTACACGTGTGCACCGACTGTGGCATATGATCATGTATTTACTTCTTTCTAAAAATTTTATTATTTTAGGTATGAGTGTTCTATCTGCATGTATGCCTGCATGCCAGAAGAGGGAATCAGATTCCACTATAGATGCTTGTGAGACACCATGTGGTTGTTGGGAATCGAACTCAGGACCTCTAGAAGTGCAGCCGGTGTTCTTAACGGCTGAGCCATCTCTCCAGCCTGACTCATATATTTACTTTTTATCACATGTGATTTTCCTATCTACCACAATTAGGATGAACAACAGCTCTGTGGCCCCAAGGTTCTGCCCTGGTGTCCTTTCATTATTTCTTTTGAAACAGAGTCTCAAGTACCACAGGCTAGCTGAGGCTAACCTTGAACTCCAGATCCATTTCCCAGGTGTCGAGATCCCAGATACATGTCACCATAGCCCGCTCTGTCACTTTTATAGGGATGTCTACTTGCCTCCGTTACCCTCCCTCTTCCAGACCCAACTCATGGCAGACACCAACCTAACCTCGACTTCCAGTTTTTCAACTAAGAAATGTTATTCAAATGCAACCAATGCATGACATTGTCTTTTTTCACTCAACATAATTCTCTGGAGTTATCCAGTATACAGGTACAATGGTGGGCATCTATCCTTCATTAGTGCCCTACAAGAATTTTTTGCTGCCCAAGTTCCCTGTGTTCCCTACTTACTCCTCTCCTCCCATCCCAACTCCTAGCACACACAGAGTTCTTTTCTGTCCCCATGGGTGCTGTGCCAGCCAGAGCACCATCAGCTGGACTTACACAGTGTGCCAGCTTCTCAGGTTGGAGCCTCCGATGGCTAAGTTTTTAAAAAAGATTTTATTTTATTTTTAATCATGTGTACATCTGTATATGGGCATGTGCTTGTAAGTGCAGATGCCTGTGGAGGCCAGAGGTGCCAGATCTTCTGGACCTGTAGCTAGAAGTGGCTGGAGAGCTACAAGAGCAGTGTGAACTCTTCCCTGAAGCCATCTCTCCAAGCCCCCCAGAGGAGTATTTTTAAATGCTAGAAAAAGACTGTACCGGTATGGTGGCATGTGCCCTTAATCCTAGCATTTGGAGGCAGAGGACAGAGAATCAGGAATTCAAGACCAGCCTTAGCTACAGATGGACCTTGGGGACCAGGCTGGGCTACATGAGATCCTACCTCAAAAACAACAATAGCACCACCACAGAAGTTAGAAAACGCAAACACAAAAAAACCTAAACCTACAAGAAGAAACACACAAAACAGACTTCCTTGTTAAGGTAAGACATTTATTTTGGTTACAGTTTTATAGTGTGTTAACACTGGTGATGCAATAGACATTAAATTTTCCTTTTCCCCCCAATGGCAGGAATGGAACCCAGGCAGGGCCTTGCCCATGTTAGGTAGGTGACAGTTCTCTGCGCCATCCCACCATCCCCTTCCCCTGAACATTTCCTGTCCAATAAGTCACTCCTTTACAAGTTACCCTAACAGTTGGAAGAGGTAAGAGCAACACAAACTTTCATCAGTCTTCTCTACCCTGAGACTCCCTCTAAGATCAGATTAGAATCTTGATCTGGAAGGACCGCCTGATGCCACTTTAATGAAAAAGAAAATGTTCCATGAGGAAAGCTCTTATCTTTGCATTTAAGATCAGTGCTTATTTTGATTAAAGCATTGAGCATCTTAATACTACGAGCGTCTTTGTGTGAACTTGTGGCTGGAAAGGCTGAACCAGCCTTCTCAACCGCGCCGCCTGCTGGTCACAACATTATTACTCATGCCCATTTCCCAGGGGTGTGTGTGTGTGTGCGCGCACACGCGTGCGCGAGCAGGCAAAAGGCCAACTGGGGGGATTCTTAACCTCCCGTGTTGGAGCCCTAAAGAGCCTTAGTGTGGGCCAAAAGAGTTCCCTCATTTGGTAAGTTTTGGCCTGTGCTCTCGAGATAACAGCATGGCGGGGGAAGCAGCCTGCCTCTGGAAAGGCAGTCAGCCTGCTGAAGGTTGAGAAGGAAAGAAACCATTTTACATTTTAATTTTAACTGGATTTTTATGAGTCGAAGAAAGTGATCAGGTCTGGGGAAGAAGGAGGGACATCCTGAGTTCCTTATTCCATCACTTTCCAGGGACAGAACACCATCCAGGAATGGCCCTGACTTGCGGGCGTGCATGTGGCAGCCCTTCCACAACACACGGCTATGCAAACTGAATAGGAGCTAGTCTTCCAAACATGGGGTAAAGCCAATCGAGAGACCCCAAACTTTCAGCAAATAGCCCCAAAGGAAAGGCAGGAATCTTCCAAAGGCCCCTTTTCCTCATTTTCCCACAAAGGCCTCCAGGAGGGTCTAGTGAGTAAAGGCAGGGGCTGTCCTGTGGGGTCCTCGCCCAATGAGGCAGGAGGAGGGGAACACAATCTCTTCCAGGAGCAGAGTTCATCGTCACATGTCACCATGTGTCACCTGGACCAAGACCAGCTATGTCCTAACTTATTGGGGATCCACCTTCTTCTTTCTCTGGGGATGACTCAAAGACGTGCAGGGCGCTTGGACATCGCTGGGAGCTGGTCTCCGAGGCATTAAAGGCAAGAACAGCCCAGCTTCCTTAAGCAGCAGGGCTCAAACTACTTCCACTTAGCTTTAGAGACCTGGGTGACCCTTAATTATCCTGAATTTTTTGGTTTTTAAAAACAGGATCTTGCTATTGTAGTCTCAACGTGGAGACCACACTGGCTTTGAACTTGCAGTGACCCTGCAACCTCTGCCTCCCATGAAATGGGACTGTAGACATGGGCTACCATGCCCTGCTATCCCAGATGGTTTTTTGCTTTTGTTTGTTTTCTTTCATAACAACACACAGGTAAGCTCTGCCAACTTTACGGGGTTATTATGAAATGCAAATCAGAAGAAGCAAGAGAGCCACTTGAAAATTACGGAGCGAGGGACAGTTTGGCTATGGCCGTTTCATTCTGGAAGAAAAAAGATGACAGTCGCACGTGTCCAGGGGTGCTGTGGTCGCACAGAGTAGGGGACAATGACCATCCAGGCTGCACAGCTCTGCCCCCGCTGTGATCAGAGGCCTTAACCCCGGGAGTGAGGCCCTGAGATGCACCTGCTTCTCCAGGCTCTTGCCAGGTGCTCAGCAGCTCTGGAAAAGGCGCATTCCTCACCCTCGCTGTCAACATTGCTGAGTTCTCCACTTAAAGCTGAACTTGAAACATTCAATAGAAGTTCCCTGATATTTCTTTCTCTCCAAGTAAGATTTCTTTGCAGACTCCGGCAAGTCATCTTACATGCAGGCTGCTGGGATCCAGGTGCCCTACAGCAACACTCTGTATACACTGGGCACTCAAGCAGCTCCAGTTCTCATAAAAACAGGTTCTTATGAGATGCCTATGTGCTAGGTGCTGGGGTGATGGCCCAGTGCCACCACTCTGCTCTGTGTGACCCTGGATACACCCTGAATAACAAGAACATAAAGTCCCAAGAAGACTATGTCCAGTCTCTGGCAGATGTGTACACACACGAGGCCCAGCACATTTCCAAACCATCTTTACAAAGTCCTTTAAAAGGTCATTTCTTTGTTTGCTCTCTCTCCAATAAAGGAGAGGTCAATTGGGATAGTACATCAAGTGTCATTTCTAAGCCCAGCGAGTCACTCCAGGGCTCCTGCACAGAGACACCATGGAACCATCAGAACCACCCGTAAATGGGCAGGGTGAGCACAGGGACCCTTCATTTCTCTCCCGTCCCCGAGGGGACAGCCCCTCCCCACTTGACACCCGTGCACACACCCACGAGCATGAGCTGTAATTGGCCATCTTCCTTCTCTATTCTTAGAATAGCAACCAGGATGGTAAGCAGTTAATATGATGGCTTGGGCTCACCCACACTATAATTCAGGATAAAACCATTGCAATTCTCCAAATGGTGGGTTGGGTTTTTTTGTTGTTGTTTGTTTGTTTGTTCTTAATAGGCTGGACCTCAATACCCTGTACTCTTAAAAAAAATAGAAGTAAAACCCTGCCCAAGGCATTGCTGTTCTAACAGGCAAAGGAGTAGAGCCGTTCACAGGGAAGGCATTGAAGCAGCAGGTATGGAACAGAAGATCCCCAAAGAGGCACACTTTAAACATTCCAAAGAGTTGGGAAAGCCCTCTAGGAAAAACGGATTTGTCAACCCAAGGGCCCCTGTATAGCGTCTTTAATTCTAAGGAAATAATTGAAACGCAGCCTCTTTGGGGAACTTCAGCCACTAATAACCCATCTCTAGGCTGCTTCAGAACTCTTGTCATACCTCTAAGAGGGTGTGGCGGGTTATGAGGACCAGTGACAGATGCGGGGAGAGCAGAACCTGTGTGTGCACAGATCCTGTACCGGGGTCACTGTGCTAGGCCACTCGGGGGAACCCAGGTGGGGGAGGGGGTCAGAGGAGAGCCTGTGAGTGGCTCAGGCCCTTGCACCCTCACAGGCCTCCTGCCCTGGGTCACTGAGATGTATCTATGCCACAGGCTTCCTCCCTGAGCCCCCACCTCAGGGAAAGGACATAAACTACAGGGAAGGAGAGCCAAGGAGCAAGAGAGGCCTCCTCAGCAAGCTTCTTCATCTTCATAAGCTCCCTAAGGGTGGAGTGACCCAGGGCCGCAATGGGACAGACATATGGGCAAATGCCTTGTGACACAGGGAGCAGGGTACACTGTGTTTCCTAAGCATGGCAGCCAGGGTCTCCCAATCAGACCTCTGCAGGAGAGGCGGTGGGCACCCTAGAGTTTCACCTTGCCTTCCTTGGCTAGTCTGTCATTGAGCTGGCAGAGTTGGGCCAGGAAACCGTCATTGGGGCCGATCTCACGATTCTGCCTCACGATGCTCAAAGCAGACTTGACGTCCATCTTCTGCCGCATCATGAGGTAGGCAATGACTAGTGTTGGGGAGCGGCTGTACCCCTCACGGCAGTGGACAAGCACCCGGCCTGCAAGAAACAGGGAGATGCGGTAACCGGAGAAGTCCAGACTCACCATAACACTGCAATTCTTCCATACAACAAGTAGAGAGTGTATCGCCATGCCACTGTCTCACCCTGAATAGTCAAAATAATAAGAACGAAAGATCAAAAGTTGATCCGAGGCAGACGTGCAGCAGTTGGTAATCTTCTCTATCACTAGGGAGGGCAGGGTATGAAGAGGCTCCCACCACGGGAAAACTGGCACCACCTACTCAAGGTGCACACCTGTGCGCCCAACTGCCCAGCAGTGGCACCCCATATACCTTCACTGAAAGACAGGGACCTGGGTGTTCTTACATCTTCTGTGTCTTAGAAGTACTATGTATAGTGGCCCCAGGAGAAAATTCCCAACAGCAGAATGGGTAAATAAGAAGTCTTTTTTAAAAAGAATTAATGATCTCAGTAGGGCCAGTAAGAAGGCTCAGTGGGTAGAGGAACTTCATGCAAAGCTAATGACTTGAGTTCAAATCCTGGAATCTACATGGTAGAGAGAACTTTCTAGAAGTTGTTCTCTGACTGACTTCATGCCCAGTACATAGTCATCCTTTCACCCCCATATGTGTGTGTGTGTGTGTGTGTGTGTGTGTGTATGAGAGAGAGAGAGAGAGAGAGAGAGAGAGAGAGAGAGAGAGAGAGAGAGAGAGAGAGAAATAACAAAGAATTAACGATCTAGTCAGATGTGGTGGTAAACATCTGTAATTCCAATATGCTAAGAAGCTAAGGCAGGAGCTAGAAGTTCAAAGCCAGCTTAGGCTACAGAATGAGACCCTGGCTCAAAAAGACAAAGATTAGGAGATGGCTCATTAGGTAAAGGCATTTATTGCTAAGCCTGAGGACCTAAGTTCAATCCCTGGGACCCTTGCACATTGTACTCTGATGTCCACCCATACACTGTGGCATGTGTGTGCGCGCGCACACACACACACACACGCATACACACACACATGCATACACACACATACACGTATGCACACACTCACTAAATAAATACAAAAACATGGAGTAATATGCAACTCACCAGGAAGAGCATGAATGGAGCACAGAAATGTAGTAGGGCTCCACAGGACAGAAAAGAGACCCAACTAAGTCACACTCTCAGAAGTCTAAACAGTGGTAACCTGGGAGGACGGGTGGGCACCAAGATGAGAGGGAGCATGGAGCAGGCTTTCTGTGGTGCCGCTTGTGTTTTAGCTCTTCATTTGAGGGTTGGTACACGGATATCTGTCACTTGTGAGCTGCTTATTTTGTGACATCAAACGAATTTTATGCTTCAGTCAAGAGCAAAACATGAAACCAGGTATGGTGCCATATGCCTGTAATCCTAGCACTCAGGAGGCTGAGGCAGGAGGATGGCGAGTCTGAGGCCAGCTTGGGCTATAGAGCTTTACTCTGTTTTAGAACAAAACAACATCCACAATTAGATAAACAAGACATGCTGTGTGTATCCATACAATGTAACACTTACAAAGGGCACTGGGAGAAATGGCTCAGCAGTCAAAAGCACTTGCTTCAGATCAGAGTCTGATTCCCAACACCCATACCGGGCAGCTCATAGCCCCCTGTAACTCCAGCTCCAAGGGAGTTCATGACTTCTTCTGGCCTCCATAGGTCCCTGCACACATGGGGCAAGCGCGCACACACACACACACACACACACACACACATACACACACAAATAAAAATAAAGCATGTTTAAAAAAGAACGTACTACAGGTGCATATAATAGTATAGATGAAACTCAAATATTCATAATGAAAGAGACCAGAACAAAAAAGAGTGCATGCTGTGTAACTCTGTTGACATAAGTCTGTGAAAGGCACACTGGTCTCTGGTGACAGAAAGCAGACCAAGGGTGATTGAGAAGGGAAGGTGGAAGGGACAGGAGATGCTGCAGAGATCATGAAAAACGCGGGGGTGACGGGCACATTCACCATCTTGGCTGTAGTGACAGCTCAATAGCTTTGCTTGCATCAAACTTTTACTGACTGCCACATTAAATACATAGTATACTTCACTGAATGCCAATTCTGTCTCTGCAAGGCACATTTTAAAAGAATAGATTTCAGAGCTGGAGAGATGGCTCAGCAGTTAACAGCACTTCCTGCTCTTGCATAGGTCCTGGGTTTGGTTCCCAGTCCACATCCACCTGGAACTCCAGTCCCAGGGGATAAGACGCCCTCTTCTGCCTCTGAGGGCTCCTACACATGTGTACAGAGAAACTCATGCAGGAACACACACATGCACATAAAAAGAAATGTTTTTTTTTAAAGAATGGATTTCCAATGCAAATACAAACCACACACACACACACACACACACACACACACACCCTCTTGTGACTCCCCCAAATTGTCCTGTCATCCCCTGCTCTCCTCTTTCCCTGCATTCCACCTTGCCCTCAGCCTACAGCACCCACCCTTCCCTGCCTACTTCCTGCAGACTATAAGCCATTCCCATTGCCACACTCCTGTCTTCTGTCTCAGTCTGCTTCATTCCTTTGTCACCAGTGGAATGTAAACTCAGAATTCCTCAGGGCAAGGAAAGCAATGATGGGGGTGAGGGGGGGAACAGACGGGCCAAAGGTCATTGTCACCAAAGTCCCATCACACTGCAGGAGGGCAGAAGTCCAGCCTCTCTCTTCGGCCGCCTGCTCCCCACACAGAACTTGACTTGCAGGCTTGACATCTCTCACTTGTGCCTCCGCAGCCTCTCCTCCTACAGATGGAGTTCACCGTCTACCCTCACCACTCACTGCCAATCCACACTCCACCGGGAAGCTAGACAATCTTCTGGAAACACTACTCTGATTTGTCATCCTTCACAGGGTGGGATCTAGTCTCTGAAGTGTGGCTTATGAGGCCTATTGCCACCCCCACCCCTGGGGGGGTGAGTTTTAAGATCATCCGGATACATAGCAAGACTCTGTCTCAAAAACAAAGCAAGACAGAGACAGAGACAAAGCCCCAGGCTAGTGCCTGGCACACAAGAGCACTCAATAAACATCACCAGTACTGGAGTCCCCCAGGGGCCCCAAGCACCTGTGACTCTGCTGGCCACATACAGATCCGCTCTCCTTCTGAAGGGTTCATTCTTCCAAAGCAAGGGATGTGGGGCTGGATTTGGATGCTCTACCATTTCCAGCATCCCCAGGCATCCTCTGTTGCTAGGTGAGTGAATGGCCACCACCTACACTCTTCACAGGCATTATTTGGAAGGAAACTGGGGACCCAGAACTAACAGCATCTCCTCTGCACCCATCACCCTACCCCAAAATGCTCCTCTATTTCCCTAGATCCTCCTCCATCAGGAGATGGGAGCCCCCTCCCCCCCCCCCTGCTGTTACCTAAAGTCCTCAGTGTGGCTGGTCGCAGGACAGCCACCACCTACTTCCTACTGAGCGCATACTCAGTTACATCCAGGGCACAGAATCTACCATGCTCCAGGCCCAGCCCACACAACACCTCCTTCACACAGCCTCTTTAGATGCTCGCAGAAACAAGTGATTGCTCCCTCTTCTACACACACCCAGGCTCCTTCCCCACTCCCTGGCATATATGTGCCTGTGTGCCTGTGCGTGCGTGTGCACGTGTGTGCTTCTTCATACTTTCCTGTGAGCTCTAGTGTGCGCTCTCTCTCTCAAACTATGTGTTATATGCCTGAGTGTGTATACCTGTTCACATATGTGTGAGGCACATATGTGCCCAAGTGCACATATGTGTGTGTGCAGGTGGAGCTCAAGGTTGACATCTGGTGTCTTCTTCGATTATTTATTCCCTCTTATACATTGAGGCAGGACCTCTCACAGAGCCCAGAATTGCTAGTCTGGCTAACAAGCTTGCTCTGAGGATTCCCTGTACCTGACTCCTGAGTGCTGGGATTACAAACAGATAACTACATTGCCCAGACTTTCTGTGTGTTCTGGAAATCCAAACTCTGGTCTTCGTGGTTGGGCATCAAGTGCTTTATCTGCTGAAATACCTCCCCCAGTTTCCAACTCCTGGCTTTCTTAGCAATAGATTCCTGTTCCCCCAAGTTCCCGAAAGTGGTTTGAGCCCAGTATCCATTTGGTAGAATAAGTATCCACTTAGTAGTATTAGTATCCATTTGGTAGTATTAGTATCCATTTGGTAGAATAAGTATCCTTTTGGTAGTATAAGTATCCATTTAGTAGTGTAAGTATCCATTTGGTAGAATAAGTATCCATTTAGTAGTATAAGTATCCATTTGGTAGTATAAGTATCCATTTAGTAGTGTAAGTATCCAATTGGTAGAATAAGTATCCATTTAGTAGTGTAAGTATCAATTTGGTAGAATAAGTATCCATTTGGTATTATAAGTACCCATTTGATAGTATAATTATCCATTTGGTAGTACAAGTATCATTTGGTAGTATAAGTATTCATTTGGTAGTATCTATAAGGCACCAAAGTCCTGGGATGTATTCTGCTTGTTCAACAATTCCTAAACAGTGAACCCACTGTAGAATGTACCCATTGCTATATCAATTGCTGGAGCAAGACCAGGGACACCACTGGTCCCCATGAACCAATCTGGGGGCAGGCTTTACAAAAGACAGGACCCTATGCCCAGTGGTAAGGTATAAGGCGGAGTTTGCCAGGGAATGGGGAGAAACAGGCAGAAAATATCCCAGGCCAAAGATTCAGTCTACCCATACCAAAGCGAGAGGTCAGAACAAGCCTGTGTACATTCCCTGTTGTCTAGAAATAGGAAATGAAGGAGAACACTCCAGATTTCCCTTTATGTATGACCAACTGCTGCCATGTGAGAATGGCAGTGCCCACTCCGCTAACTAACTGGTCACTCCATCTATCCAGAGTGAGAAACACAGAACAGCTGGAGGGGAAGGGCACTGGGGTCAGTGTGACAGGGACCATGAGGGAACATTAAGGCCCTGGCCTTAAAGTCTGAAGTTTTCCCAGTCAACAGAACTTCTGCCAGCCCAGAATATGTGCTGGGCATCAGTGGGTAGGGATCTGTCTTTGAGAATCACTTGGACAGGGAAGCTGCTGGCCCAGGAAGCATCTATGTAACCCAAATAAGGCCAATCATATCTGCAATGAGTCACCTCTTCCCTACAGAGGGAAGATGTGAGGGGAAGAGCCCAGAAAGTCAGTCTGCCCTGCTGCTCTGCCCTGTGGCCTGCTAGGACTTATCTTCTAATGTTGTGTCTAACCACCAGGCAGTCCTCCTGCAGGCCCACTTTTTGTCTGCAGCTGCAGGGACTAAGTGGCAGGAAGACTTAACCTGGGATTTCCAGGGTGCAGACCCTCAGCCGGTCATGGTCACTAGGAGAATTCTGGAAAATAGTTCACTTCCTCTCAGAAGGAAAGAAACAGGCTGGGGATTTGGCACAGTCTTTATGCTAGGTTCAGATTCCTAGCACCCACATAAAATCACAGCCAGCAGCATGCATCTGCTGTCCCAGGCCTAGGGAGTTAAAGAAAAGTGGAACCCTGGAGCTCACTGGCCAGCAGCCTAGATAAGTCAGTGAGCTCCAGGATCAGAGAGAGATCCTGTCTCTAGATAAGTCAGTGAGCTCCAGGATCAGGGAGAGATCCTGTCTCTAAGGTGGAGACCAATTGAACACCATGTTCAGTATCACCTTTGGCTTCCACATGCAAACATGTACACATGCATACACACAGAGACATACACATGTACAAGCACTTATGCACATATATACATATTCATGCACTCATACTCATGCATGCACGCACACGCATATACACAAATGGGCGCACTAAATTTAAAGGAAAGAGGCATTGATGCCTAATTGCTGCACTGCCTATGTCTGAAATATTATCCTTTGTCTATGGGATACATAAACTCTATGCAATGGTCCCCATAAGCTCACAGTTGGTGGCACTATTTCGGAATGTTTCTGGAAACTTTCTCAGGTGGGGCATCTTTGGAGGAAGCAGGTCCCAGAGGGCTGACCCACAATCACTTCCCCACTATGTGTCCTGTCTGCTGTGAGGTAAAGAGCCTCCTCTCTCACACACTTCCACTGTCCTGACATTTTATCCATGCACATAGGACCGGCTCCCCACAGACCGAAACCCCCTGACAGCATAAAATAAAAGTCTTTCCTCCTTCAAGCTGTTCTCTCACTTATTCTGGTCATGTTCATATAAATGTAGCTAATATAAGCTGTGGTGACCAGATGTGCTGCACCTCTGAATCAACCAGCCCCAGGGTTACTTCACTTCGAGACTTTGCATCCTGGGCATTAGTAACCCTTTGCCATTATCACAGGTGTCTGAGTTGGGGGCAAGGAGCAGGTGGTTGGGAACCACCCTCTGCCCAAGTCAAACTAAAGGCAAAGCCCCTGGCTGCTGCCACTGTGGGAAAGAGAGGAACCGCTTGTGTAGTGGGGTCGCTTGAGCTGCCAGGCAGAGAGACTCTTAAAGTCCTCAGTCATCACCACAGGGACAGGAAGCAACAGAATGTCCAGAGGAAGACCTGTAGAGGTGTGCTTTCTAGATCAGCCCACGCCAAACCCACCTCCCACGGGTCCTGGCTTTAAGTTCCTCACCATTGCTGTAAGCCAAGGCCTGGTCGATGAAGTCTGCGGCCTTTTCAAAGTAGGCGCTGAGGTTGAACTCCTGCGTATCATTGGCCTTGATGCCCAAGTAGATGATGCCGGAATCCTTGTAAAAGTTGGCATTGGTGTTGACGTGCATGAAGGACCTGCCCTCGGCAGCATTCAGGACGTGGGTGATGCCTAATTTTTGCAGCTGGGAGATGTCCTGAGCCACAGACCTAGATGGGAGGCAGTGGCAGAAAATGAAGAGGCAGCCTTGGGTAAGGAAGAGATGAGGCAAGAGATGAAGAGCAAGGAGACTGTGCCCACTGTCCCCTGTGGCTTCTCCTGCCTCGTCTCATGACTGCTGCCCTCACCCAGCCATATCCAGTTACCAGCAGCTTCCCCAAATAGACTTGTGGTTCCATGCCCACACTGTTCCCTCTGCTGCCTCCGTGAAGGCATCGCCTCTCCTCTTGCAGAGCCCCCTGTGGTGTTTCCCCAGCTCTTTCCAGTGTGTGTCCCATCACAGCTCCTATATTGTGGTGATGGTATAGCCAAGATATACAGTAAGGCACATGGCTGTAATTCTAGCACTCAAGAGGCCATGGGAGAAGTATCATGAGTTTGAGGCTAGCCTGAATTTACACAGTAAGACCCAGATTCAAACAACAAAACAAAAGAAATACAGACCCTGGAGTCAGAGTGCCTGGGTCTGAACCCAGCCCTGCCATTTACCAGCCAGGCAACCTTAAGGAAGCCACTTAGCCTATCTATGCCTCAGTTTTTCTTTCTGTTAAACGGGGATAACAATGCCAACTTGGGGGTAGTCTTGGGTGTTAAAGGGGGCTGTGGTGTTTCTATCCCATGGCAGGGTCTTGCTTATCTGCCCAGAGCTCCAGTCTGAGTTCCTTGAGTGGTCTGTCCCCAAAGTATCTGCTATAGTGCCTGACACACGGTATTGAATAAATACATGGTGAATGAGTGAAGAATGAAACTGTCGCATGTCAGGTTCCCTGAAGGATCGATCCTGCCATACTCTTAGTGACATTTCTGGGGCTCTCTGGAATGTCTTAGTACTTAGGAGCAAGTAGCCACTCCCCCCCCCAAAAAAACCGATGGGAGTTAGAAGGTGTCTTGACTGAATGGCATCTTTCACTCCCTCTCACAATGTCCCAATTTAAATAGGAGTTTGTACTTCACAAATCAGTGTCTCCCACATGGTCCTAGCTGCCTGTTATGGCAGCTGGAAAGAGAGGACAGGACTGTCCCCAGTGAACAGAGCTGAAACTCCGCAGGGCAGGACAGGCAGGGGATGCACATGTGCTCACACGGGCTGCTGAGTCACAGCTGCGAGGCAAGCTTTCTCCAGACATTCAGCCATGCTCTGCCTCCTACCTCCCTCTGGCCCTCACACCCACACCACCTATCAAACCCAGAGATGGGAAACTCAGCTTACACAGACTCTCTCACCACCACGAGAGGATGTGGCTGAAGCCCTTCAGTCTAGGAGCCCCTGGTGGGTGAGGACGCCCAAATTCTCGGCACTAGGTAAGCAGTTGACCCTCCTGGTTGAGCAACCCCTACATCAAGGTCAGATTTGCATAGAGGGCAAAGAATGTGTTTTCCATAGCAGCCATCACTCGATGGCTGCCACCAGCCTAGAGAAGCTGCTATAGACCATTGCAACCAACTGTCGCCAGGAAGCAGGCTCCTGGCAACTTGGGTAGTTGGGGTAGGGAGGGGTGGGAGGGGTCCCCTAGGACTTTGCAGTGGCTGAGCCTCAAGACTGACCCATTCAGGATACTGAGCAAAACTGCACAGCAGTGCTGGCAGAATAAAGAACACCGTGTCTATATATCTCCTTTTCCTAATGCGGATCCAACGGTCAAGAAATACACCGTTATGGTTACCACCGCTATTGCGAGTGAACATCACGTGGTGTGTTACACACACTAGGTGCTCCGTATGGAAATGAGGGAGGCAATGCATGCAACCTGCCCCCAAGTGTCTGGGACCTGCCATGTGAACCCCCTCTGGGTCCACGGTAGGTTAAGCAGCAGGTCCTAGGTTCAGGACAAGAAACGTGCGTGTAAGACAATGAAAAGTCCGCACAACCCCTCAACCACCCCAGGTCGCCACTTCCTATTGTGTGAAAACGAGAGGAGAGCTTGTTATCGGTTCTGAAATGCAGTCCTTCAACTGGACCCACAGAGCTTAGGACTTTGATAAATGGGTCTCCCAACGTGGGTCACGCCAGCCTTTCTTTCAGCGTTAACACTGATTCTCTCCCACTGCTGAGAAATTCTTAGTAATAGTACGACTAAAAATTTTTTTTTAGGAGAACGCATAAGAGATCAATAATATACACATTTCCTGACGGAGGCATTTTCAGATGACTCAGGTCTTCTATAGAGTTTAACATTTTGATCTATCCCATCCAAGTCAAGCCCTATCTGAAGAAGCCAGGAAAATCAAGGCTCAGCTACTTCCTCTTTTAGAGTATTTTAGGGTATTTGGATTTCCTGACACGGACAGCAAAAGCTCCACACCCGGATTGTAACGTCATTCCGTTGCCATGGCAACGAAGGCAGACATTCCACGGTGACCTCACTGCAGAACTAGGCAGCTGTCACATGATGCGCGGCCAAGAGACAGCCCAGCCACCTGTTAAGAGAACGTGGTAGCCTCGACCCCGCCTAAGCGGAAGCCAGAGCCAGTGGTGGCCCGGGGCAAGGTCGGGCAGTTTCGGGTCTCAGGGCATGCGGGGTCCGGCTCCTCACTTCACGCGCGGGGAGTGGGTGTCGACTCCAGCCCTGTCCCCAGCTCCCCGCTCTTGCTCGCAGGTCGGCGACCGCGCCCATGTCCCCCCCGCCCCTATCCACGCCCCTGGACCCCACTCCAGCCCCCGAGTGGGCGGGGCGCCCGGGGAGCGGCTACGGAGTCGGCCCTCCCGGAGACTCACGCGTTGCCCACGTAGACCCTTGGGATGACCTCGTTGCAGGGCTGGCTCGGGAGGCTGTAGCAGCCGCTGCCGTCTGAGAGCAGGTCGTTGAGATCTTGCACCGAGAGCTCGAAAGGGCCGGACATGGTGGCGGCGGGGCCCTGCACGCCGGGGCAGGAGCGAGCCAGGGGGAGAAGCCGGGTCAGCGGGGCGGGGCTGCCCAACAAAACCGCCCCGTCCCGCCCCGGAGGCGGGCCCGCCGGGTTCTAGAAGCTGCGGGCGCCACGCGGCGTTGCGATGCGCTGCGCAGAGGACACGCGCGGCCGGCCCACGCGTCGTAGGACCCTGGGGCACGTCCCTGACCGAGATGTCGTCGCTCCCGTGTCTCCGGTCCTCTCTCTCATCCTGGCTAAGGCCAAGGTGCGCGGCCACTTCCTTACTGAACCCGACCCCTGGGGTACACCTGCCGTAGTTCTTTGGGATGACGGGGACCCTTGGGGTTTGCTATGAACCCTTCTGGCTGCAAACCAGCAGCGTTGGCATCCATTCCCTCACCCCAAACAGACACATGTCAGAACACATCTTCCCAACACACACCTGCTGAACAAATTCCCTACCCCAGGAGATGAATCTTTTACCCAAGGTCACAGGGAAGAGTCAGCGCTATGCTGGGACACTTCTTTTAATATGAATCCGCACTGAGTTTTTAAAGCTGGGGCTTTAGGTCGCCAGGTTTGGCCGCTGACCCCGGGGGAGTACTTAATCTTAGCCTGATTGCTGGCGAATAAAGGGGAGGAGGAGGTTATGGCGTCACAATAATAGTTTGAGCAGTATAATTTTAGAGATCCGAAGTGTTTACAAATCTGTAACTTTAGAGTGTAAACACAGTGCAAATGGAAAGTTCTCACACCTGACCTGTGACAGATGACAGTCAAAACACAGGTGCATTAAAAATTACTGTAGAAAATTATATTCAGGATATATGTATATGTGAAGCATTAATGAATTTCATGTTTAGATATTCCTAAATATCTCATTATAAATATTAAAATAGTCTAAAATCTCGAGCATTGCAGTACAGAATATGTGATACCTAACTTCTAAGAATTACTGGGAAGATTCCAGAAACATTCAAGAGGCTGAGGAGGTCCTGGACCGTTATGGTACTTAGCATGCACAAAGCCCAGGTTCAGTTCCCGGCACCGAATAAACAGGCATAGCGATTTCAGTAGCACTCATCAGTGAATGTTTTGAGTACTCACGGGGTCTGCACCCTGGGCTGTGCGCTCTGGGGAGTATCATGGTAAATTGTCCTCCACGCCCCCCTTTACAGATCTTCCTGGAGCAGCTGCCATTCCACTATTGGCCACATGGTGTCAGTAGCTGATCCTCTCCTGAGTTTCCACCGAAAGCAAAGGACTTGGTAGTTTACTTTAATCAAAGCTGCTCTCAGCACTGCCCTGGGAAAATGGCATTAACTACTAAGCGGTAAATCCAGACCGTGTCTGGAATCCAGGAATCCAAGAATCCACGCCCTGAGTCCAAATCTGCAACTTACTAAGGTTTGTTTTCTGTTTTTGTTTTGTTTTGTTTTTTCCACACTTAGGTTTTTGAGACAGGGTCTCATATAGACCAGGCTGGCTTTTAATTTTCTATATAACCAAGGATAACTTTGAACTTGATCCTCCTGCCTCCACCGCTCCCGGTTAACATTGGCTCAGCTCTTAAGTGTTTCCTTCCCTAGGAAAGCTTACAGTCTCACATCTTCAGGGAAACCTTGCAGGAGACTCTGCCTTCTTAGCTCATAGCATGATGAGGACTGGAATTCCTCCCTCCCTGGGTGCCTGCCTGTGCTAGCCAGGGACCTTCACACCATACATTTCCTTTCCCCTCCACAGCCTTGCAACAGCAACTTTCCAGGCAGGCAGGGAGCTTCAAAGACTTAGCACAAACCCAAACGTCCAGCACAGAGCTGTAAATGCCTGTGGGGAGAGAAAGGTGCTACTTACCCTGATCCAATCATAGCACGGGGCATATAAGTACCGGATTATCCCACACCCCATCAACATATAGAAATTTTCTCTCAACTTAAAATTAAAAATTTTTAGGTGCCCAAAAACAGCTAGACAGCTCTTCTCCTATTCCTCCATTGAGACTTGTCCCTGATGTCATAACTGGGCAACTATGACACTCCTACATAGGGACAGCTAAGTGCCTTGCAGCAGAGTCAAGGTGTCTCATTTCTGAAGTGAGACTAGGAGGAGAAGATGAACAATTCCCTGGACTACCTGGCCTACCCTGTTATTGTCTCTAATCACAGACAAAGCACAACCTTCAGGAAGAAACTGGACTTTGGCCACTACATACTGCACAAGAATAGAGTACAAATAGGTATGTGGGCAGAGGGCATCGCCTCTTGAAGTTCTGAAAGTGACGCAATTTATCTTCTACCCCAGCATCTGTGTGCTAGACTCAGCTTTTAAACTCTGTAGAGCCCAAGTCAAAGAATGTGAGTGCAATGCCCACTAGACTAGTAACGCTGAGAGGGATAGAAATGATGTCATTTCATTAGATCGAAAGGAAATTTGTCTCTGAATTTTGAGATGGTGGGGCAGGAGCTGGCTGAGAGTCAAGGATGGGCTCGAACTCCTGGTTGTCCTGCTTCTACTGCTGGAATGCTGGGGTTACAGTCCTGCATGTCACCATTTCGGTTTAGACAGTGGGGTGGGGGGACACCAAACCCAGAGTCTCTGGTGGGCTGAGTGACTGGCACTCTACTGACTGAACTGCTTCCCTACCCATCCTTATGGGATTTCTAGCCCTGGATCTCAGTTCAAATTCTCCAGAGATGTCAGATGGGAAAATTACACCTAACTGAAGTTGCTAGACCAGATCTCTGTTAGAATTCAAAGGTGGAATGTTCAGTGTTTGGGGCTGGGTTGTTTGGTGGTTTTCCAAAGCTGTTAGGATCCTGCTCTGCAACACTGTTCTTTGTCTTCTAGTGAAGCCTGCTGTGGATACCAAACCTCCAATGGCGCACACACATCACATTTTAAAACTGAGCAAACTCCAGGTAATTACCGAATCTTTTAAAGTCTTTGCTCTAAAAAGACCCAATTCCCCAGAGCCTTCTAAATACCCACCAAACTAAGGATTCATCAACATTCACCCCCAGTTTCCCTAAGTTCTGTCCCAGACTCCACCAGGGCTCTCATTGCGCCCCCTTTGTTCTCAAAGTCCCAGAGGAAGGTGACACAAGTCACTGTGTGGGGGCGACACAGTGGTTATGTCACCACGGCGGGGTTTCTTCCCAGGGTGAACAAAAGAGAATCAACAAAATCGAATATGAAAATAAACAACTATGTCAGAAAATCGCCAACGCCCATCGAGGCCCTGCCAAAGTGGACTGCTGGAATGAGTATCTTTCGAAAAGGTAGTTCTCTCTCTCTCTCTCTCTCTCTCTCTCTCTCTCTCTCTCTCTCTCTCTCTCTCTCTCTCTCTCTCTTCCTCTCTCTCTCTGCATTTCATTCTCAGGAAACTCAACCTTCCCTTTGGGTTTGAATGAGAAAGGATCACTTCAAAGGATGTTATTATGGAGAGAAGCAAGAAACCATGCTACCAAGATTGACAACTTCACAATCAGGAACCTTCCTCCAGGGTTAAATCTCACCTTTGCTGTCATTGAAGGGAGTTCCCCTAGCTCTCTTCAGAGCTTGTCCCAAACACACACTTGCATATCTTTGCAGAATGCCCATGTGTAGTGGAGGTTCAGGTGCAACACAGTAAGCAACAGTTTCTTGTTCTGGAGGCTGGGGAATCCAGAGATGGTAGGCGGCGCCAGTGGATTCTGGATTGGCCTTGGTGTGGGAACAGCTTGCTTTCTTGAGAGACCGCTATCTTGACACTGGAACCTCATGGTAGAAAGGACAGGAATTCTCTCCCCCAACTTCTTTTTATGAGGGTGCTAATCCCATCCCCCAAACCTCACCTCTTAATATATCACTTTGAGTGTTAGCAGTCAGGCATATGGATTTGAGGCAGGATCCACAAACATTCAAATTCAGCATCCTACCAGAACTGTGCTACGACACTCCAACAATCAGTTCCACAAAAACCCTTGACTAAGTACTACATGCTAGGTAATTAATTACTTTATGCTAGGTATCTCCAGCAGTAGAGAGATGAAATGAGAACATTATTTCCCAACCCCAAACAGAGAGATTGCACCAAAACTTGACTCCAGACAACATGCCTTATTCACAGGGAGCCTTCCATGCTTATATAGACCAAGTGTCCAATCCTGGTTTTACATTATAATCCTTGGGAAACGTTAACAACGTGAGATCATGAGCATTTTTTGGCAACATAGATGAACACTTGTGACTTTCCACACACCTGGATTTATCAAATAATAATAAATTCACAAGCTCTGAGCTATTGTTGGCAGCAATTTGCCAAATACTGCCACTTTGTTTTTTAATCGCCCTGGCTGAGACAAACAGGGGCTCTTTTATTCCTCCCTTAATTACTATATTAACTCTTAGATTGCACATTACATGCCCATACAGTAAATGTCACTTTATGCATGTATATGTGTGGGTTACAGAATGATGACCAAAGCTTAACGAAGAAAGTCAGTCACATATTTTAGAGGCCTGAGAGGCCAAAGCTAGGAAACTGACAAGGACTCCAGTCTCTGTCTTGAAGAGACAGTCCAGATGGAGAGGCTGCTGGGGGTTTGGGGAGGAAGAGTGAGGTAGCAGGGTCAGGTTGAGCTGTAGAGTTGAGTCCAGCATCTGAGGCAAAAGGGTCAGGCCTGGTCTAGTTGAACAAATGTGCGGACAGGTGGATTTCAGGTCCAGATGGATGAACAGGAAAAACAGATACAATTCAAGTGTCAACAGAGGGAATTGAGCTGTCCTGACACCCCTGGAACAGTCAGGGGTTCTCAGCTCGTCCCTTGGCCCACATATTTGGTCAGATGACAGGCAATTGGGACCATTAGTATCTAAAACAAGTTGTCAACTTCTTTATGGGATCCGGGTGAGAGAGCTACACCCTTTCCTCAGTCTGGTTCTTGGGCCTAAGTGTTTCTCTTAAGGTTTTAACATACCCATGTGCACCTACAATTCCAATTCACCTCTATAAATGGTGGGACCCTCTCTACCCCAGAGAAGTAGATTAGCAGTCTGGGATGTGTGGGTAGCACTGGACGGATAGTGCTATTCGAAGATGAGGTGCAGCCTCATCTTCTACCCTCAAAATAGTGTCAGAATCCACTAGTGGAGTCTTAGGACAAGGCCCAGAGTGGAAACAACTGTCTTATGCAACATGGAGTCATTTAGACTTCCAGCCAGCTGTGGGGATGAACCTGTAAATGCTTCATGTATCTTCCAGAGTGCACTGCCTGAGGCTTTCCGCTCCTCTTTCACCCCTTCCAGAAGAAATGCTTTTCTTCTTCACCCATGCTGGTTTTGTGTTTTTCAGCTTAAACAGAGAAGCAAGGAACCGAGAGCTAGTGAGAATCACCATGGAAAACCAGGGCATTCTAAAGAGGTTGGGTGACCGAAAACCCCACTATGAGCGAAGGGCATCGGAAATGGACTGGCAGGCACGTGTTCACCCTTGTCATAGTTCCAGGTGTCCCTGAAGTTAGGCTACGCTCAGCACGGAGGCTAATCCCTGAGCAGCTAGGTCATGGGACTTGCAGCAGTCACTCAAAGAAAATCCTGCAATGCAAGCATAGCTCACAAAGGCCAAGTGGGGAATGACCAGAGGCATCCTGGTGATAAAGCTACCAAGCCAATTTCAGAAAACCCTGGGTAGCACCCGCGCCCCAGCCCCAGATTCGTAGGGAAAGCTGAATTATGAATATGGGGGAGGTCAGTGTGAGCCTGTGTGTGGTTGATGGGCCCCATTTAGAAATGATTCTTTAAAGGTGAAATAGGGAGAACTGGTTCAGGGGCTGAGGCAGGAGGACGACTCATTTGAGGACAGCCTAGACTGCTTAGTATTGAGACCCTGTCTTAACAACCAAGCAAGGCAGTAAAGCTCAGGGGAACCGTGAGTAGTGTTTTAAAGGCTGTCTCTCCCTACCTTTCCTAAGCCATTCTTGGCTTTAGAATTTCAACTCTCATACCCACGTGCCCACATTGACAAACCTTTCTGATTGTTTCTTTTCCCCAAGAATTCAAGGCGCTATATCAGAAACACAACAAGATATCTTCTCTCCCAAGAGGATTAGGTATGTCATTTTTATGATAGCGCATTGCTCCACGAACGGCCAATGAGGGCTCAGCTCAGGGGAGGAGAGGAAGAGCCACTCAGGGAGCACAGAGCTCTTTGACTTTTCTGGAAATGCTAGTTTTGGTCACCAGCTTGTGAGAGTTTTGTGGGCGTCTAAGGGGAAGTGACCTGTGCCAGGGGAGGGTGAGATGGTTCCACCGGTAAAGATGTGTGCCTCATGGTCTGAGTTTGATCTCCAGGGCCCCATGTAACGGTGGAAGGAGACAATCCACTCCACAATGCTGTCCTCTGATGTCCGTATTTGCTGTGACAGAGCTCCACCCCTATGACAGTAATTTTTAATGGTTTAAATTAAAAATTTAATAAACCTAGGCTTGAAAGCTAGGTCTAAGGTTCATGACTAGTAAAACGCATGGGCACTTGAGCATTTTATTAGATTGATTAGTGACATGGCTCTGTGTCTTCAAGGAAGGAGTAGATACCCAGGCTCGCCAAAGAACAGTACTACTGTTGATATCCCCTCTTCTCCTTCTCTGCCTCTTTCTCCTCCCCTTCTCTCCTTCCTTCCTCTAGACACAAGGTGACTCACCACGGAAAACACCGAGAAGACCCTGGGTTTCCTGAACACTTATAATCTCAAGATACTCCTGAGTGACCACATTGACCCATCTTAGGGTGTTACAATAAAGCTTGGCACACAAAACGGGGGAGGCAAACAGAAGGATGTGATGAGTCTTTTATTTGTATTCTGTGCATGCGCCTGTGTGTGTGTGTGTGTGTGAGAGAGAGAGAGAGAGAGAGAGAGAGAGAGAGAGAGAGAGAGAGAGAGAGAAGAGGGGGGAGAGAGAGGAGAGAGAGGGGGAGAGAGAGAGGAGAGAGAGGGAGAGAGAGGAGAGAGAGGGGGGGAGAGAGAGGGAGAGTGTCCAGCATGTGGAGACCCATTCTGACAGTATCTCCTTTGACCGCTTGTTTTTGAGATTTCATCTCTCACTGAACCTGGAGCTCCCTGACTGAGCTAGGAGAGCCGGCCACTGAGCTCCAGGGATCTGCCTGTCTCTGTGCCACCCACACATGGCTTTTACGTGGGTGCTAAAGATCCAAACTTGGGTCCTCAGCTTGTGTTGTAATCACTTTACTGAGTCATCTTCTCAGTACTAATTTGCATTTATGGATGGCCTGGAACTTGCTAACTAGCCAAGGGTAATGTTACCTTCATGCTCCTCCTGCCTTCACCTCCCCAGTGCTGGGATTAAGGGCACGTGCCGCCACCACCTGGTTCAGCAAATGCTCTTAACTGCCTATCTTCCAGTTTTGTCCAGTTTTTGCTTTGTTGTCATAGGTTTTGACGCTCTCCCCCTGGGTGCGTCCTCCTTTAAGGTGTCTTCTTGGTATGTTGATTTATCTTCTTAAAATCCCCCATTTGTCCCTAGTAATTGTCTTTCTCTAGTCTGCTTTATCGGACATAATCATAATCAATGTTTCAAAATCCATGTTCTGCCAATGTCTTTTAGTATTTTTCTCTCTACTTATTTATTTATTCCTTTATATTTATTTATATTTTGAGATAGGGTCTCTCTACAAAGCCCTGGCTGTCCTGGAACTCTCTTTGTAGACTAGGCTGGCCGCGAACTCACAGAGATCCACCTGCCAGTGTCTCCCAAAGTGCTGGAATTAAAGGCATGTGCTATCACTGTCCATCCCTCTCTACTTCTTAAATGATGTGTGTTGAGGTCAGAGGACAAGCTGGGTGTCAGACCTCTCTTCCTACCTTGTTTGAGACAGGGTATCTTTGTTGTTGACTGTTGTGCCACCAGACTAATCTACCCTTGAGCATCTTGGAATTCTCTTGTCTCTGCCTACCAGTGGGCTGGAATTACAGGCACAAGCTACCATGCCAACCTTTTTTGGGCTCTGGGGATTTGAACTCAGGTCTTCAAATTTGCACAGCAAGTGCGTTAACCGCTGAGATGTCTTCTCAGGCCCTCCTCCCTCCTTTTGAAATACAAAAATTGTTCCTGCACAAATACCAAGCACCACAGAAGATGGTGGTTACCTTTGCTTTGTCCAGCTGGTTCGGGTAAAGAAGCTTAAAAGGTGTGTTAGCCTGTTCTAGTTCTGTCTCTGTTGCTGACTCGTCTCTTCTGGAAGAACCCCTTCCTTGGTTCATTTCTTTGTTTAGAGCTGCCTTCAGGGCAGGCCTCCACAGTTTTGTTTCCCTCCTCTGAGAACACTGTCCATCCCCCTCACGCCTAAGATAGTCTTGCAGAACGCAGGCTTCAACATTAATAGTTCTTTGTCCTCTTCCCCGTGCAAAAATAGAATTTGAATTCCTTTCCTGCCTGGTTTTTTTTTTTTTTTTTTTTTTTTTGCTGTTTTTGAGGTTGGTATTCTTCCCCCTTAATCTTCAGTTTCTAGGAGATTAAATAAGAGTTTCTAACTCATACTTGAAATTTGATTTGATCTTCTTCTTGAACTGTAGGCTGGCCTTCTCCAGATTGGGGGGGCGGGGGGGGGTTGGTTTAGCCACTATTCCTCTGAATATTACTGTCTTGACCTTTGCCATCTCCTGCTAGGACTCTAATACTATAAATATCATACTTTTGAGTGAATCCAAGTTTTAAGTTTTGATTTGTATGTTTTGCTTCCATAACTTAAAAACAAAACTGAGCCAGGCGTTGGTGGCGCACGCCTTTAATCCCAGCACCCCAGAGGCAAAGGCAGGCGGATCTTTGTGAGTTCGAGACCAGCCTGGTCTACAGAGCTAGTTCCAGGACAGCCTCCAAAGCATTGCCAGAGCCCCCAAGTCTCTTCCTAGGCAGCTTTTACGGTACTCAAACTCCCTTTATGGAAGGTGTTTAACTGTATTTAGAGGAGGAAGAAAAAATGAAAATGATTCCATACCACCTTGCCCCGAAACCACTGGCCTAACTCTAAAGGAAGCGATGGTTAGAGAATGTATTCAAAGGGCAGAGAAATGGAGGAAGAAATAGATCAATCCACCAGACAAATGCAGTTGACTGGTTCTTAACTGTCTGATCCCAAAACGGACTTTATATGTATGCTGAAGTTTGTAACTGTTAAATATATCAAGAGCTGTCATTGTTATGCCTGTAATCCCAGTACTTGGGAGGTAGAGGCAGGAGGATCATGAATTCAAAGCCAGTTTGGATGAGGTCAGCCTCATGAGATCTGTCTTAAAAAAAAGCAAACCAGGAACTGGGGAGAGGCTCAGTAGTCAAGAGCACTGGCTGCTCTTCCAGAGACCTACACCCCATTCCCAGTACCCCCATGGTACACAGACACATGTGACAGCAAGAGACACCCCCACACACACACCCCACACACAAAGCAAACAAAATATCATCTCACTGCCTTGGGTGCCTGATCCTGTGACCAGTGGCACAGATGGCCGGGGTGGCACTAGAAAAGTATTGCACAGTTTAACTGTCCACATGCTGTAAAGCACTGGGGATATATAGTATAATACCAAAAGCACTCTTGTCTGAGGTTAAACACATCTGAGCTGTGATTGACAGGGGGTTATAATCTCTCTTTTGCAAGGAATGGGCTGGGAGTCAGGGAAGACTACTCACCACTGGATCAAGGACAGCATGCACCCATACCAAAAACTATGTTGAAAGAGCCAAAAGCAGATGAGCTCTGTAATTGATGAGTGATGTCTGCCATGGGAGCAGGATGGACAGAGGCAACACATATAAGATCCATTTAGCCAGGAGTTGGTGGCGCACGCCTTTAATCCCAGCACTCGGGAGGCAGAGACAGGCGGATCTCTGAGTTCAAGACCAGCCTGGTCTACAATAGCTAGTTCCAGGACAGCCTCCAAAGCCACAGAGAAACCCTGCCTCAAAAAAAAAAAAAAAGATCCATTTAATGTTCTTAACCTTGAAAAGTCTTCTAGAGCTCACATTCTCTTTGGTTATAGACACAGACCAAAGACTTAACTGTTTAAAGGCCCAAGGAATAAAACCGTGCTTCTTGGGAGGCAAAGAGGTGAATCAGTGTACAGGCCAGGAGTGAGGAACTTTTGCCAATTTTTTTTGCTGGGGGCTCAGAACACATACTGTGTGTTGGATCGGACTTGGATTTGCATTTATACACATTCCACAAATACATATTTGCAAATTGGTACATTTATTTTTTGTAATAACATTCTCTGCTTTGTATAAACAGCAAAAACACGCCTTCCAGATGACACCTGTCCCCAGGTCCCTATCCTCTCAACTCTCGTGGATCTCACAGCTGAGAACGTGTAACTTGTCCTGGGAGAAGGAAAGGTACTTTAATTGCAATTAAACCAAGCCCATTTTCATATCTTATCTCATAATCCACACTGAGTTACTACCACCTCATCTGAGAATTGGCTAAAAATATGGAGTAAGCAGAAAATGACTCAGTATGACATGCATATTTTAAAAAGTCACTCAGTGCCCAACACGGGAGGGCAAATCACCCACATCAGACTTCCTGTAACCAGGTAAGGTCTCCACCACTCTGCAGCTGTGAGATGGCCAGGAATGAGCTCTTCCTAAAGTATCATCTGCCTGGGAGTGAACTCAGGTCCCAGTTCTCCATCCCCCTTCATGAGGCAGCTGCCTTCCCCCACCCCCCACTCCCGGAATTCTGTGAAATTGTTAAGTACTGGCTAAAAATGGAGTAAGAAGGACCCACCCTTTTGCTGGAAAGTCCTACAAATGAGATTGATCAGTTACCTGGTGGTAAGCCAAAGTTCTTGTGCAAGAAAGTTAGCTGGAATTTTGTAGAAGGGAAGCAAATGGTATCTTGCACATATATAAACTGCATCCTTTTAGTCCTAGAAATTGTAAGCATACTGGACATTATTTTAGTTATAAGGCAGTCTGGTATAGTGGTTAAGGATCATCTCATGTGAAGAATTTTGAGGCTCAAACATATACAGCTGTACCATTATGCATGTGCAGGTATGTGTGTAAGTGTACAGTGTGTGTATGTATACAGGTGTGTAAATGCAGACTAGCCAGTTCAAAAGTTTCCAAAGATTCTTCTGTTTCTACTTCCCATCTCCTGACTGAAGTACTGTGGTTAGAAATACACACTACAAAGAGGCTTTTATGTGGGTTCTGGGGATTTGAACTCAAGTTCTTAGGTTTGCATGGGTAAGCACTTGTACCTATGGACACACCTCCTCAGCCTTGTGTTGTTTCTTTTTGTTTTCTTTTTCTTTTTTGTAACTGTATAAACTTCAACACATGATTTAAAGCTTCTAAGTCTCATTTCTTTCCTCAAAAGTAAAATGGAATGGAAATATTGTTATGCCATCAGCTTGGTGTATTTACAAAGATAAGGTGCAGCTAACACGGGACTGGTGGCTCATCAGAAGTAAAATTCCCCAGTTATGACCTGTCACAGTCCCTTGAGAAATGACTGCTGCTTAGAGACAACATGACAGACCCACACTTTGAGTCTATACACTTTTGACAGGACTGATTTATTGTGGCTTAGACACAGCTTAGACAGATGGGAGTCATCTGATTCCCCACAATCTAGCACAACAGGAGCCCCAATCTGAAAACAGAGACAGCCTACTACCAAGGCATAATGACAGACAGCTGATATCATAGGACAAATCAAACACAGGAAGGACTCACTTTCAGGAGCATGGGGTATTCAGAAAGGGGACAGGCAGCCTGACATTCCTCAAGAGTCCCCGAAGGCACTA